CCGGCCCACCCGCTCCCTCTGGCAGCAGCTTCACTGCACGTGGGGTGAGGCAGCAGGGCCTGGCCGCGGCACAGACCCTCCCCGCAGGTCACTTGGTTACCTAAGGAAGGAGGGACAAGGGACAGGTGGCGCCGTCTCTGGGTCGCAGTCCAATCCTCAGAAGCTTCGTATCTTGCTGGTGGCATCACTCAAGTGCTTGGAGAGAGGCTGGCGGCGTGCGCTGTTCTCGCTGTGGCTGTGGATGGGTCTCGCTTCCTTCTCATTGCTGAGCCAAAATGCCTAACACCCACAAGTCAAGGGAAGGAAGGTTATTAGCTCACGGTTGGGAGAGGTTTCAGCCCGTAGTCGGCTGGCTCCATGGCAGGGGCCACTGCAGAAGAGAAATCCATGGCAAGCAGAAGGCAGCAGAAGCAAGCGAGCGAGGAACCTGGACAGCGGCTTTCTGTCCAGGCTGCCGGGTTAGGATGGTGCCGAACCAGCCAGTAGCCTGACTTAGTGACCACAGGCCCTTATCCCAGTGTCACACTCCAGATGCAGGCGCCCTGAGGAGCCACGGGGCACCAGATACAGCCTTGCCCGGTGTGACCTCTGGCCTTCTGGTGGGGCTGCAGGAAACACGGAGTCCACTGACCCGCAGGGTCACAGCGTCGGGCACCGGGTGGGACTCGAGCTGTGAGGGGCGAGGGCGTTCGTCACGTCCTGCCCCCATGGGCCTGATCCTGTCGTCAAAGCTGAAGAGTCAGGGTGGTCTCCTGTTCCTGTTTTCGCTGCGGGGCACTGCTCTCCACAGGGCATGGGCAAAACTAGACCCTGCCATTATACAGCTAGGATTGTTGGCTTTGTGCCTGCTGCGCTTTTCTTCTTTACTTTTGAGAAAGAGTCTCACTATGCTGTTCAGGCTGTCCTTGAAGTCGTGAGGACCCTCCTGTCTCAGCCTCTTGAGTGCTGCAATTAATAGGTGTGCACCTCCATCCCTGTCTCTTTTCCTTCTTTTCTTCCCTTTCCCTTCCTCCTTTCTTATAAATGTGTTCATCTTTCGTGTATTGTTTGGCTCATAAAAATAGTGTCTCTACTCTAAATCATTTCGGCAATATTTAAAGAATCAGAATGAATAATATACATGATGCTAGAAGAAAGTTTTCTAATAGTGAACCTAGAGAAACATAACCTGCATCCATCAGTGATTGAATTTCTAGGTGAAATAAAAGTAAAACAAGAGACCGAAATGTTTAAATAAATAATTAGGAACTATTTTTTGAGCTGGATGATTTTAGTGTACCTTTAGATTGTCAGTGTGACTTCATGGGTGCGTTCCAGATACAGTCCTACCCAGGAACTACAGAAAGGTCACGGTCGTCATGGCTCGTAATTATGATCACTAACAAATATTTACTGAACGCCCATTCTGATCAGCGTGCTCCAGTAAGTGCAGTCACGTCCAGAGGCGAATGTCCCTGTGGTGACCAGTTTGTGCATGAAACCCTAACAAAAGGAAGGCTTTCCTCAGCCTCAGCGGTGGACGACACCCTTTAAACCCGTTAAGTGGAGCTAGCAAGCAGGTACGGAGACAGGTCTGCTATGCTTTTGGAGATTTTTGACATTTCGGGTCTTCTCTTTCTGCTTCCGAAACCAAAATAGCGCTGAGATAGAAGCAGTGTCTGTGCTCCTCAGACGCATTTCGGAACATGATCCAGTAGCCGGTGCTGGGGCGCTGCAGCTGGAGAGACGCGCCTGGGGCCTCCAGCAGGCCCTGCCCTGCACACCCTCTGGGCCTCATTCCCCTTGCCCTCGTCCCTTTGTGCCTGCGCTGTGATACCGGTTCCCTGACTGGTCTCTGCTCTCTCCCTGTCTGGTCCACGATACTAGTTCCCTAACTCTTGCCCTGCTCAAAGCTGCAGATTGCACCCAGGGTTATTTTTCAAATAAACCAACCCGTTCGCCCACCACCAGTTCCAAAGGTTTTCTTACGATGGAGCCTGAGCTCTTTTCCCTGACCGTCATCCTCCTCGCACACTGATCTTTAGACCCCTGTGTGCTGCTGAGGGGAAAAGGAGCGGAGCCGGGTCCCAGATGGGCTTCTGCTCACTCTGGCCTCGTGTCCGCATGGGGGTGGCTCGTGTGGGGCTCCGTGGGAAGGGAGGAGCCACTGTCTCCACCCAGATGGTCCCAGCCGCCCTCCTCGGGCCTCTCCCATGACCACTCCTGTCCAGCTGGACATCGCCAGACCATGGAAGTGGCAGAAGTAGCTCCTGCTCTTAAAGTTGGGATGACAGGCGGCCCCTCCCCGAGATCTTTGGCTCATCGTCCCCTCTTGCTTGTTGGTCACCTGCCTGTCCTGCCAGGTCCCTCCTAGGCCCTGCCCTTTCTGCTCTGCTTCACAGTCGGTGTCCTTACACTTCCGCATTTGGATGTGCATGAAATACAATGTGCAGACTAAGACTATAGTGACTTTTTTGGGGGGGGTTGGTTTTTGGTTTTGTTTTTTGGTACCGGGGATTAAACTCAGGACCTTGTGCTTGCAAGGAAAGCAGCGGAACCACTGAGCTAAATCCCCAGCCCTGGTTTTTTGAGACAGGGTCTCACTGTATAGTTGAGACTGACCTGGAACTCACTGTGTAGCCCAGGATGGTCTTGAACTCACAGCAATCCTCCTGCCTCAGCCTCCTGAGTGCTAGGGTTACAGGCGTGGGCCACCACACTTGGCTACTATAGTCACTTTGTGTGTGGGGGGGTGAACAATTTTTCTACTTAGCCTTGCCATCCTCCTGCCTCAGCCTCCTGAGTGCTGGGAATATAAATATGCACCACCACAGCCAGTTGTGTTTTTTAAGATTTCTTTCTTTCACTTTCTAGCTTTCTTCCTCTCTTTTTCTTCATCCTTCCTCCTCCCCTCCCCTTCTCATCTTCCCTCTTTCTCCCCTCTCTCCCTCCTTTTTTCCTTCCTTCCTTCCTTGTTGGGTACTGAACCCCGTGACTCTGGTACGCTAAGTGCATGCTCTTCATTTCCTGTCTCTGTCCTTCTAACTCTTCTTCTGCCTAAGAAACCGTTGTAGTGATTTGGGTTCTGGAGTGTTTCTGTGTCTATTCAGGTGTGTGTGTGCGTGTGAGAGAGAGACTACTTCCTGGTTTGCATACACACAAAAGCACTTATAGTTCATATTTTTGGCAGGATGCATTGATTAGTTTTGAAGGCTGCCAAGCAAAGCCCCGTGGGCTGTGGGCCCAGAGCATCCTCTCACGGCCCTGGAGGCCGGAAGCTGGAATCGGGCCGCTGCTGGGGTCGGGCTTCCTCTCGGGCGCTGGATCCTGCCAGGTTCTTGTGGTTGCTGGACTCTCCACCTGCCCTTCCCTTGGGGCTCCGCTCTCCGCGTCCCCTTTCATGGGCTGTCTGGCTTCTCCGTGCACTTCCGTGAGGGCGCCTTTCACACAGGGTGCAGGACCGCTCCCCGTCAGGACAGCCTCCTCCTGGCCGGCTTATCTGTGTTTGGTTTTGCTCTTTAAATTATTTATACTTTGGGTTTGTCATGTAAGAGAAACCATGTGATATTTAAGCTTGTGTGTCTGATTTATGTCACTTAACCTTATGATCTCAAGATGCATTCAGGGCTGGGGATTTAGCTCAGTGGTGCCACCGCCTGCCTTGTAAGCACAAGGTCCTGAGTTTGATCCCCAGTGCCCCCCAAAAAAGGTGCATCTATTTTCCTACAAATGACTCAGATTTAACCTTTATGGCAGAGTGGTGCTCCACTGAGTATAAACACCACGTTTTCTTTATTCACTCATCTGTGGATGGTCACAGAGGCAGCTTCCAAGATTTAGCTGTTGTGAACCGTGCCGCTGTAAACATGGGTGTGAACAGCACACCTGTGTAACAGGGTGCCTTTAACTCTGGGGAAGACACCCAGACAGGGACAGCTCAGGTCAGTGGGATTTCTGCGTCCAGTGTTTCGAGGACTCTCCCACTGATTCCCAGAGTGGTTGTCCTAGTTTCCATTCCCAGCAACAACATGCCAGGGTTCATTTCCCCCGCACCCTTGCCGGCATTTGCTGTTACACTTCTTGCTGATTACCATTCTTTCTGGAGAAAGATGGAAGCTCAGTGCTGTTTTAATTTGCATTTTTGAAATGGCAAGAGCTGTTGGACATTTTTTCATTATTGGCCATTTGTACTACTGAGAAGCGTCTGTTCTTTTCAACTGCCTGTTTCTTGATTGGGTCTTTTATTTGGGGGGACATGTAATTTTTTTCAAGTTCTTAATATATTCTCTCTTTTTTTGGTTTTTTTGAGACAGGGTCTCACTATTTAGTTGAGACTGACCTGGAACTCACTATGTAGCCCAGGCTGGTCTCGAACTCACAGCGATCCTCCTGCCTCAGCCTCCCGAGTGCTGGGATTACAGGTGTAAGCCACCATGCCCATCTAATATAGTCTAGGTATTAGTCCTCTGCCTGAGTAGCTGGCAGATATTTTTCTCATACTGTAGGCTGTTTTCTCTTCGCTCTATCAGATGTTTTCTTTGCTGTGCAGAGGCTTTTTAATTTGATGGGATTCCATTTGTTGATTTTTGATGTTTTTTGTGCAAATGGGGTTCTGCTCAGAAAGTCTTGGCCTATGCCTGTGTCTTGCACAGTTTTACCTATTTTATCTTCTCGCAGATTTAGTGTTTTACTGTTTAGATCTTTGATCCATTCTGATTTAGTTTAGCGTGGTGAGATATGGGTCTAGATTCAGCCCTCTGCAAGTGGATAGCCGGTTTCCCGGCACCGTTTGTCAGAGAGGCTGTCTTCTCCAGCTTGTGCTTTTCAGGGCCTTTTGTCGAAGATCAGGTGGCTAAATGTGCCTGGGGCTGTTTCTTCTTGCGCTCTCCTGTGCCTCTGGTCAGCATGTCTGTGTTTGTGCCGATGCCGAGCTGTTTTTAATCGCTGTTGCCCTGTAATATAACTTGAAGTCTGGGATTTTGAGGCCTCCTGCTCTGCTGTTGTTGCCCACGACTGCTTCGGCTGCCCTGGGTCTCTTCTGGCTCCATGTGAATTTTAAGGCTGCCTTCTCCAGCTGTATGAGGCATGCTGTGGGTATTTTATTTTTCATTTTTCTGGTGCTGAGAACCGAACACAGTGCCTCACACTTGCTAGACAAGTGTTGTACCACTCTGCTGTTGGTATTTTGACTGTGATTGCGTTACGTCTCTGCATCAGTCTTGTAATGTGGGCATTTTGACAATATTGGTTCTGCCTGTCCAGGAACAGGGGCATCTTTCCATTTTCTGATGCCTCCTTTTGTCTCCTTTTACAGAGTTCTGCAGTTTTCATTACAGAGGTCTTTAACCGCCTCGAAAAGGTTAATTCCTAAGTGTTTACTTTTCTTTAGGCCATTGTGAATAGTATTGTTTTCCTGATTTCTTTCTCAGGGGGGTTCATTATTGGTGTACAGAAGCATGATTAATTTTGTATCCTGAGTTACACATTTTAAGTGGGTGGACTATCTGATATATGAGTTTTATCTCAATGTAGCTTTTTTTTTCTTCCAAATAGGGGCTCACTGTATAGGCCAGGCCAGTTGTGCACTCACTGTGTAACTCAGACTGATCTTGACTCAGGACCCTCCCTGCCTCAGCCTCCTTAGTGTACATCATCATGCTGAGCAGTAGAGCTGTTTTCTGAAAACCTACTGGCTGACTGCCCAGGGAGGTGCCCTTACCCTCCAGTCCTGCCCTTGTTTGCAGTGTGAGGTGGTGCCGGTCACAGACAGCCCTCCCTGTGCTGTCACTTCCTGTTTCCAAGGGGCGGGGCCTGGGCTCCTGACCAGTGGTTGCCCAGGTTGCCTGGCACCAGCTGATGACCACCTGCTCTGGTTTTTTGTTTTTTGGTACCAGGGATTGAACTCAGGTTCTTGCACTTGCAAGGCAGGCGGCGGAACCACTAAGGTAAATCCCTGGCCCCCGCCTGCTCTGTTTTGTAGGCTTGGTCTTCTAGGTGGACTTGGAACCCTGTGCCCCCCGCCCCTCCCTTTATTAGGCAGGAACCAGATGTGATCCTGTCCTGTTGTATTGAATTTGTGCCTTTGGTTTGAGGGAGACTTGATATCTTTGTATTTAATGTGCCCACCCAGGACTATAGCGCGTGGTATATTTGTTTATTCATTTAGGTCTTGGTTTATGTCCTTCATTCAACTTTGACAGTTTTACCTTTCTTATTAAATTTATTGCTAGGTATGGTCAGATTATTTGGCATTTCAGCTTTTCGCTGCTGATGGCTGATAGAGTAAAAGAGCTATGATTTTCACATATTTCGATATCTGCTTCTTGTTTTCTTTTCAATACTAACATTTGTTCACCTGCCTTTCTTAGACTCAGGGCGGGAACTCTATCCCCAAGTTTTCCTCTTAGTTTCCAAAATACTGTCCTATATTGCTTTCCCTTTCTTGGTTTCGCCTCAGTGGATCTTCTTCCTGTACCTGCTTTTCAAGGCTGCTCCGAAAATACCCAGAACATCTAAAGCTCATAATAAAATTAGAATGACATCTAGGCATGAGGGTCCACACCTGTAACCCCAGCACCTGGAGGGCAGGGGCAGGACGCTGTGATCGGGTTACACAGTGAGACTCTGTTCCCAGCAAACAAGGTCCACGCCTGCCACGTTGGTGTCGGTGCCCCAGGCTCGTGGGGCGGCAGGGACAGTCCGGTCCCACCGGCTCTGGGACCCCCTTCCCCCATGTCCACTCGGGTGTCACTCCTCCCCCACAGAGAGCGAACCCCAAACATAACCGGCTCTTCCTCTTCCGACCTCTCTCTGAACCCCCAGATCACAACCCAGGGTAATTCTTCCTGGCCCGCCCGGAGAGCCTGTCCAACGCCACCACGACAGCTCCGCACCAGTGTCTTCCCCGCAGTACTGTCCCTCGCGCCCCTCGCCCGGCATCCCCTGGCCTCTGGCTGCCACACTCTGGGAGCTGCTGGGGTGACAAGAAAGTGTGGGAAGGGACCAGCACAGGGCTGGCGCTCAGCACCTGGGCCTCCGTCGCCTGTCCCCTTCTCTTTCTACTCAGGGGAGCTGCGGGGCTGTGTGGCTGTGACGTGGCGTTGTGTGGCCTTTCCCTGGAGTTCTCTGGTTGAGGCAGGAGAGCAGCACATCTGACCCCTAATAAGGAACATTTGAAAATAGTCCAGAAGGAAAAAACATACAACTTTGCAGCTCCAGTGTGCCACCAAGAGCCAGGGAGTTAGTTCAGTGGTTCCGCTGCCTGCTTTGCAAGTGCAAAGTCCTGAGTTCAATCCCCAGTACCAAAAAAACAAAAAACAATGTGCCCCCGAAACAGGACAGCAGTGCCACCGTGGTCCTCCACTGCGGCTGCCTGATGCTCAGGCTGACCCAGGGCTGAGGGGGCCCTGCCCCAGACGGGTGCCTGAGGGAGCTGCAGAGCGCATAGATCGAGCCTCTCCCTTGCTGACAGACCTGGCTTTCGACAAGGGTGAGTTCCCAGTATTTATTGGTTCGGGTCCACGCATTTGCTTGTCTTATGCCTTTGTTCTCAGCCCACTCCCGACCGGCCTCTACTGGGCGGTAATCAGAACCAGCTTGTGAAATGTTTTGGAATCCGGTTAGACTAAAACAAACACAGCTCTTGTAGAACTCAAATGAAACCCGAAACAAGAGAAAGTAAACAAGAAAGAATGCAACAACACTCTAAGCTGGTCCGTGACAGAGGCAGGAGGGGAAACTGAGGAAGGCCGTGTAGCAGCGGGGTCCTTCAGGGAGGCAGCGGCCAGGGCAGGGGTCCGGAAGGCCTGGCTCTCCGGCCTGTGCCTGCTCTCTTGGGCCCGTCCTTCCCAGGGCCTTGTGAAGCGGGGCCGGCCCACCTCGCCCTGTCCCGCCCTCCTGGCCGCTGCGCTGTTCAAAGGTGCGACTGGGGGTCTTCAGAGGGGCCCTCCGCTCCTCTGCCGTCCCTTCGGCGGCTGGCTCCCTCCTCCCCGCAGCGCCCTTCCCGCCCATGCTCTTCTGTGTCCCCTCGCAGACCTCGACCCCTGGTGGCCCGGCGACTGTGAGCGCAATGAGTCGGAGCGCGTGCCCGCCAACTGCACCGCCTGCGCTCACAGCCTGCCCCTGGAGGTGACGCTCCCCGAGGACGCCCCGAGGACGTTCGACAGCCTGCGGCAGCTGGTGATCAAGGTGAGCGGGGCTCGCTGGACGCCCGCCCGCTCGCCCTTCCCGAGGTTGTGGCCGGAACCCTGGGCCTTTGCTTTGCTCTCGCACCCAGACGGGGCGGCCTCTGCTGACCGAGGAGATCCAGCGCTTCCTGTGCCGGTACCCGGAGGTCGCCGAGGGCTTCCCCGAAGGGCTTCTCGCCAAGTGGCAGCGTTGCTTCCCCGAACGGTGGTTCCCGTTTCCTTACCCGTGGTGAGCGCGGCAGGGTTAGGCCAGGGCTCCCGACAGGCAGAGTCGCCGCCCGCATCCACCCGGGGGAGGACGGGACAGAGGTGGCGGAAGGAGGGGCCCCGCGCGGGAGCCCCGAGACTCGAGAGACCCGGTGTGTGCTCTAGCAGGAAAAGCGAAGGCCGTGGCCAGCGCACAGCTGTTCCCGAGCGAAGTAATCTCGCCTTTTCGTTGTGTGTTGAATGATTCCCGAGCGCTCCCACCGTTCCCGGAGTTTGCCCTTTATGTTATGTTCATGCTAGAAGCGCAGTGGTACGCACAGGGCTTCGCGCTGCGCCCGCCCAGCCCGGCTCGGGTCAGGGCCCGTGTCCCCCGTGTCCCCCGTGTCCCCTCTCTTCCTAGCCTGTCTCCCAGCAGAGAGTGAACCATTGCTTCTCCCCCTCGGTGT